GGGGGGGGGGGGGTCCCCTAATCGGAACTTTTACCACGCTTTTTTCTTCTCTGAGTGTTACTTTACACAATATTGTAATTATTTAATATTATATCAGTACTATTCCAGAAAAAAATGATTACTCGAATTAATGTTAATTTAATCAATCAATTCATAATAAAATTTGTTAGTGGAATAAATACCCCATATTACGGATATCGTTATTGTAGAGAAAATGTTTTGTCCATTAACAAAATCGAGAGCATAACAAATGAAACATATTAAGAGCTTCGTGAGTTATTAAATTTTTCTCCTATTATTCCAGGCGATCTTTTCGGAAAAGCGTTGCGCACAAACCGGACATAAAGAAGCAGTTAGACAATTTTGAGGATCATCGACCGTATTTCACGTACTGGATCACTACTGTGCAAGTATTGATTCTGATAATATCGCTGGCGTGTTACGGATTTGGTCCTGTCGGAATGGATCTCAATCATCGATCTGGATTGGTGAGCAAATAGAAATAATCACTATTTATTGACCACTATTTACGATTGTTATTCATTTCTTAAAAACTTTCTTTGGAATTTCATTACGTTTATTAAAAAACTAATTTTGCTAAGTTCAAACGTTTTATGTATAAGAGATAAGCTTTCTTTTTACTGGATCAAAGCAAATTATGTTAAGTCTATTCAATCCTTGTAGAATATAATAAGATGTGAATGATCACTTTAAATTACAATTATAATAATGCTTTAAATTTTTATTTATGACAAAATTTTGTTTTTTATGTGTATGCCTAATTCTTTCAGAAAAAACTTTTTTTAGAATTCTTATTAATTATTTCAAAATTACTATAATTTTTTACAAATTAAAAAATTTTTCAGAATATGTGTATATTTTTATTTATACAAAGTGTTTTCGATCACCCGCAATCGGAACACACTATAAGATTAAGCGTTTTATTCCAAATCTAAATCAAGTCTAATAATTTGTTAATCCGCAATGTAGTTGATTAACAAACTATTTTTCTTAAATAACGGATTTCAAAACAAATACATTATTGACAAATACATTATTTATAACAAGTTTTCTAAATGCTCTTGATTTTGTTGTATGCATAATATGGTTAGTTCTGCCATTTATGTCGTTTGTACTTTACTGTAGCATTTCTTCATCTACAGTTGGGAAGGCGAAATATAATTGAGCCACCATCTCTCTTTTTCGGTTTCTACCTCGGATTCTTATAAATAAAATTTTTTTAATGGCCCTATAGAGAAATAGAAATAATCAAGCGATGAATACAACAAAATGAAGAGCGTTTTGAAAACTTGATATAAATAATGTATTTGTCTATAATGTATTTGTTTTAAAATCCGTTAATTTAAAAAATGTAATTTATTAATTAACTACGCTGCTGATTAACAAATTATTAAGCTTCATAGATTCGAAATGCTTAATTTTGTAGTGTGTTCCGATTGCGATCAGATTGTAATTGGATACACCCTTTATAATTTTTTAGAAAATTCCTCTATCTTTTTATACAAACCGATACACTTTTAAGAAATGTTGAGACAGTTTACATCTCTTCTAAAATTCTTTATACAATATGTAAATTTTGAGATACATTAAGATCTCATTTTATAATTACCAAAAAAAACTTAAAATTTAAATAAATTTAAGCTATTCTTCAGAAATCTTTATGTTTAAAACATACAAAATGTTTTAAAATATGAAAATATGAAAATTAACCAAGATATACGGTTGCAATTGTTTAAAATATTTCAAGCTACATTTAAATATTTAAGCATTGTTTTTGTTCGTTAAATAAGAAATGAGAGAGGCTAATATTAGATTCTTACACTCAGCGAGGGTTGAGTATGATTGAGAAAATAATTGATTGCATCCAGGTTCTTGTAACAAGTTTGTCGTTACAACAAGTCGACTATCAAGAACCCGCGAACTTCTGGCTGGGTCCTAGGGCCGCAGATCTGATCCATCTTGGCGCCAAGTTTGCACCGTGTATGCGTCGTGACATTAAAATCCTAAAGGAGATCGATGTATGGCGGGAAAGAGAACGAGATACTGCTTGTTGCATTAGGAATGACGATTCCGGATGCGTTCAATCCAGCAAAGCAGATTGTTCTGTAAGTATCTCGGTTTTTTAAATATTTGTAACATTTCGCTAGCTCTTCACGGCCATGTATGTTCATAATAATAAAATTTTCTTCCATGCGCGCCCAACAGGTCCGGGGACTGAGATCCACTGCTATGGTAAACTACGTAATTTTTGCTTTGATTCTTTAGCTTCAGAAAAAGCACTTGTGAAAAAAAAGAAAGTATTTTTAATTTATTGCATTGTGAGCGTCGCAATTTTTCGTTACTTGAAATTGAAAGGATCCCGCACAGATATATCTTATGGAAATGTATGGTTCAATTAGCTGAAATTGAAGTATTGTTGTCCTCGACGTCCCAAACAGAAGTCTGAATATAGGCATGATTCTTCAAATTCAGTACTTTTCTGTCCAAAGTCGTTTAAGCGAATGCTGTTTTATTTATCGGTTAAATATAATTTACACACGTATGGTTTACAATTATAAGATTTATAAGACATCGACATATCACTATGACTGCGTTCCATTTAATGCTCACAACGCTCGTGAAATTATTCCAATTCTTATTGTTTATCAAATGTTAAACAAGGACGATGCTCGTGAGCGATACGAGCATAATGTGAAACGCAGTCTATATAGTATATTACATCAATAAAACATATATCTTTATTTAGACTTTTAAATCTAATTATAACGATTTATATTTATTCACATATATTCATTTCTTTATTTTACATCTCTGTCTTTATTTCAAACACATAACCTTTCCACAAAATAAATGTAACTTTTTAATTTTTCCTTGCTTTGAACACAAATATATTTGCGTTCAAAACAGGAAAAAATTAAAAAATTACACTGTGATGCACTGTGTCTGACTATGTCCTTGCTGAAAAGCACCTAGTGTAAGTAGGACTTATACACAAACGATTTATCACTGACACGTACTACTGCATCAAAATCAAGAGACACAGTAGTGTCTCGCGTTAAGTGGACGCACAGCGCGAGACCGCCCCGTGTCTTTATGCGAATCAGCGAGTTGCGAGCATCCGAAATTATCAGTTTTTCAATAAAAGCTGAACCGATTGACTTCTGAATATAAGCTCAATTTTCTCATAGGGTAAAAAGCTGGTTCAACGACTCTGACTCACCCTATATATATATATGAGTATGTACACACATATATATATATGTAGAGAGAGAGGGGGGAGGGGGAGAGATTTATATACTTGATTTGTAAAAAGCATGATACAATCATAGGTTTCCACTTTAAAACATTTCTAGATAAAAAAGTACTGGATTTGGTAAGCTCCCATTGAGAATTTTGTTTGAACAACGTACTTCAATTACAGCCCGTTTAACCGGAAGACACATTTCTATAAGATCGATGCAAATCCTTTTTTTTTGTAACAAATATAAACACGAAATTTATATATTGTATGTCAATGTTGTCTCAATTTAATAAAAGAAAAAAATTTCTGTGTTTTATATGTATATACATATACGTATATTATATAACACTTAAAAACTTTAAAGTGTGTTATATATATGAATATGTATGTAACTTTTGCTATATAATTTATTCGGTTAATAAGTTGCGCACATTTTGTTATTAATTTACGCATGTTTCAATCTAAAAGATTGCTACATTTAGAGAAAAATATAATGGTGACTAAATAAAGATGACAATTATACTAGTTTTATATGTAGAATTAACGTACACATATAAGTTGCACATAAACTATTTTATAATTGCAATAACTATAAAACAGTTTATTCAGCTGTGTACATTATAATTTTACATATAAAAACAACTACAATTTATATTAAACCGACGAGAATAATGCCCGTATTCATAATCAGACCTTGTACTTAAGGCTTCCTTAAATTTATCTTTAGATGCTCAATAGCCAATGAAATAATTCGTAGAGCATCTGAAGATTAATTTAAGGAAGCCTTAAATATATAAAGTCTGGCTATGATATACGGGCATAAATCAATTAAGAGAAAAAAAGCCTATTTTCGATCAAAGTGAAGTTTAATGCTTAACAGCCCGCGAGTCAGTGAACATTTTTTACGTGTCATTTCAGCAAACTTGATTTATCGATTTTATGCTTAAAATTGCTAAAATGGAAGTCTACCGTCAACTTCTTAGAACAGGAGCCGACGAGAGCCATTTCACTTTGTCAAAAAAAAAAAAAAAATAGTGCTTTGTGTCATAGTAAAGCTGATTTTTTATTTTCTTATTATTTATAATATAAAAAGTGATAAAATGACAGTCTATCAACGTACCATCGGGACGGTACCAGTCTGCCACCTCCTCGAACATGTAAAAAAATATGATGCTGTGTTATTTTAGTGGTGTCATTTCAGTAAATTGTATTTTTTTATATGTTTGAGGAGGTGGCAGAGAGAGAGAGAGAGAGAGAGAGAGAGAGAGAGAGAGAGGAG